TAATGGTGTTTTTGAACAACCCTTATTTCGTGAACACGCGGGTGGAACATTCTGAATTGTCGTAAGCCAGAAATGTGTCACGTGATTTTTGGTGTGTGTGAGAGAGAGAGAGAGAGAGGGGGGGGGGGGAGGATAACGAGGGAAGGAGTGGGATTGAGAAGAGAATGAAGAGGGAGGGAAGGAGAGAGAGAAAGAGAGAGAGAGAGGGGGAGGGAGAGAGAGAGAGAGAGAAAGACAGACAGACAGACAGAGGGGGAGAGACAAGAGGAAGACAAAGACAGACAGAGGGGAGAGAGAGAGGATAGAGAGGGACAAAAAACACAGACAGAGGGGAGAGAGAGGGGGGACAAAAAGAGAGAGAGAAGAGAGATACAGAGAGCAGGGGAGGAAAAGAGAGAGAGAGAGAGACAAAGACATAGAGAGACAGAGACAGAGACAAAGTCAGACAGAGAGAGAGAGAGAGAGAGACGGAGAAGAGAAAGGGTCTATACTTCCGAGTTTTTTTTTTTCTCTTCTTTCCTTCTTTCTTTCACTTTTTATCATTCTATATATTTCCATCGAAGCGAAGAAGCACTAGAGATATTTGTTATGGATTGGCTATATATTCAAGATCATTATAATCATCAAACTTATCAATTATTAAAGATCTATCATTGCCTTGTTATTTTAGTCGTCAATCAATAACCATGAAATTGAACAAATTGAGTTGGCCTGTATTTTTATTATTGTTATTACTGTCATTATTCCCATTCATTCATTTTCATTTTTATCTATTTTTTCGTTGTTTTTTTATGGTAACACTCAGAAGTGCCCGGATGTTTCTTGCGTTTCATCATGACCGCATTGTCTTTGTTGTTGTTGTTGTTGTTGTTGTTGTTGTTGCTTGTTGTTGTTGTGTTTCTTGTTTGCTGTGCGTTGTGGTGTTGTTGTTGTTGTTCTTGTTGTTTGTCTTTGTTGCTGTTGTGTTGTTGTTGTTGCTGTGTTGTTGTGTTGTTTGTCTTTGTTGTTTTGTCTTTTGTTGATTGTTGTTGCTTGTGTTGTTGTTGTTGTTGTGCTGTTTGTAAAATAGAAAAGTTAAAATCAAAGCGTCACTTGTCAGAGCACGTGAACTGTGAACTGGTACAGTATACCGGGGTTAAGTTCTAAAAAAAAATGATAATAATGATAATAAATGAAAAATGAAAAAGAAAATAGAAAAAAATATATAAAAATGAAAAAAAAAGAAAAAATATGTAAAAATAAAAAAAGAAAATAGAAAAAATAAAAAATAAAAAAAATAGAAAAAAATAAATAAAAATACAAAAATAATAAAAATAAATATTAATAAAATAAAATTAGATAATATAATTCCATAGTTTATGCTAATGTATCTCTAGTTCCACCTAAAAATAGTGAATTGAATAAATTATGCTGCGAGTAAAGGTTTCTAAGCATCGTTCTACACGATGATAATATTCTTCCAGGCATCAGATACTGAATAATGCAATATCGGATTAATGAATAAAAACATAAAACAAGAAATACATAAGAATAAATAATGATGAGATAAATGTTTAACTAAGATCGTTACGTGAGAATCGTTACCGGCTGTTTTCTTGCTCCGAATTATTTTGCATTCAGGGTATTTTCAGTCTCAGCAAAGCTAAATAAAGAGAGAGAGAGAGAGAAGGGGGAAGGAGTGAGAGAAGGAAGGGAGAGCAGAGATGAGAGATGAGAGGAGAGAGAGAGAGAAGTGAGGCAGAGAGAGAGAGAGAGAGAGGCAGAGAAGAGAGAGGAGCAGAGAGTGGAGGCAGAGAGAGAGAGAGAGAGAGAGAGAGAGATAAGCAGGAGAGAGAGAAAGGAAGAGAGAGAGAGCCGAGCTGAAGAGAAGAGAGCAGAGACAGAACAAGAGGACAGAGACAGAGGAGGGGGGGGGGCAGAGAAAGAGAGAAGCACAGAGAGAGAGAGGCAGAGAGAGAGAGAGAGAAGAGAGAGGTGAGAGGGAGAGAGAGGAAGAGAGGGAGACGATAGAGAAGAGAGGAGGAGAGAGAGAAGAGAGAGGAGAGAGAGAGGGAGAGGGAGGGAGAGAGAAGGAGAGAGAGAGAGAGGAAG